ACTTTATATTAAAAAACCTATAGAGTATAACAGTGCAGCCGATTAGTTTCTTAGACCACAGTACGTATTTTCGGCCAATTAAGAAATCTTGGCAGAATATCTTATGTATTTGGAAGAGGAGCAACAAAGGCTAGTTCGGAAAGATGTTTTTCCGCGGCTTTTGAATCAAACCATAAAAGAGATAGACACGCAAAGCGCTAAAAATATTTGATCTGGCTTTGAAGCCACAGGCATATTCCCTGTATGCCGAGATAAGATCCTGAGCAAATTGCCCGAAGAAGTCGTTACAAACGAAGAAGCAGAAAACCAGGCTGCTCTTGCTTTGCAAAATATTTTTAAGGACATTCGCTATGGGAAGGAAAGTCCCGCAGTAAAGGCTAGAAGAAAAAAAATTAAATATTTAGGCAGGAAAAAGTGTCTCACTTGAAAATGTTCAGGAGGCCGGACCATCAAGAAGCGAAAAAAAACAGAGAATCCAAGACAGGTTTCGCGAAAAAAAGAAAAACAAACAAGCGGAAAAATAGCAAAGATATATCAGAGACCTAAACCGATGATGATGATGGATGGGAAGAACTATTAAAAAAGAAACGCCCTTGGTCCAGACCTTTTAGTAACACGGGATCAGAAGACGAACCTTTCCTTTACTCAGATAATGGAAATCAAAATTCGCAAATGGAGGCTGCTTATGAAAACCAAGAATTAATACAGACGGAAGAAGTTGAAAACATCGATTTATGTTCAGAGACTGATTGTTACTAAGGAAGGCAGTTCTTACATGTGCTCTTACTTAAGAGAGCATTCTAAAATTCCGAATGGCTTTGTTTTTCCTTGGGTTAAGAAGGAATCTCAAGTGGAAAAAAAATAAATTAAAAGAAAATTGCCAAACCCGATCTTCCTAAGAAGAGGAGCAATAATATTCCATGGTTTAAAGTTGTAATTATTATTATAATACGTACCTGCCTACTTAACCACTTTCAAAGGTGTTATAAGTCTGATTTGTATTAAGAAGATATATAAATAAAGACTGTTTATCACAAATATTTCATTTCATCTCACCTCTGTTGAGCATATAAATGAATTTAACAGCAAAATTTAGCCATTTTACAAATCACCCCATCGTGTGGTGACTTGAAAAATCACCTTTTTCTCCCTAGGGAAAAATGGAATTAATTATATTAATATCCCATAATGTTCCCTAGGTTCCGAAGAGTGGTATGCCTATTTTTTTTTTTAAGTTGTGGTCAAGAATCAAGCAAGTTTGTCAAAAGTCTCATCAAGTCACCCCATTTTACGGTACAGTTTTTAATGACGAGTAATAAAAATTTTTGATAATTTTTTATGATATTCCTAGAGGGCGCTAATGACACGTCAAATCGAAGTAAAAAAGAATTGATGACTTCAATTCCACCTGTCATTAGCGTCCTCTAGAAGTACCATAAAAAATAACCACACATTTTTATTTCACGTCCTTACCATATACTTTTGAGTAAAATGTATTCAATTGTTACCTAAATATTATTTTTTTTTAAAATAACATCTAATATTTATAATTAACATTTACCCTAAGGCATATTTTTACCTCCTATATGTACAGTTGCCGTAATGTTCATTTAAACTTTTAAGTAGAAAACTGAATATATACGTGAAACTGGTTTTTATTCGAGTTCCAAAAATTTGCGCGTGGCATAACCGCGGTTGCGATTACAGTGGTGTTTTTATTGTATTTATTCGAAATCTCCAGTAGACATGTTTATGCATACGTCATCTAAAGAAAACAATTTAATTTTTCAGTTTTATACAGTTTTTTTGTTAAAAAAAATATGTCAACAAAAAGAAAGAAATTTTCGGATTTGACCTCAAAGCAAAAACGCGCACGGGTACAAAGGATAAATTCTAGACGAGGATTACCTAACAGTTCTGATGCTGAGGAAAATTCAGGGGAATCTACATACAATAATGACTCCTTCTTTACCAACTAATTGCGACCAGTCGTCCGTAATAGAGGTAACGATGGAGCAGAAGAAGTCAATGTCCGACTTGATGATGGTGCAGCCAATAATATTAAAATAGAAGAAAGACAATTCGAAACCAACGAAAATGTACCTGACGTGCGTGAAGAAATATTGTTTAACAATATAGAGGGTAATGAAAAAGAGATTGTCAATCCCGTGCTTAACTTAGCGCAAGAAGGTTGTTTCGTCTTCGCGAAATATTTAATATTTGTTTAATTTTTATTATATTTATTTAAATATTATATCCAGCTTATTGCCCCCAACGGGCATGTTTACCGCAACTATTTTTAATTACCTATTTGACTGCTTGATTGAGGGCTTAAGTGTATTAAGAAATAAGAGTTCGAACCGCAAGCATCCCTGCGATAAACAGTGATCTACCACGCGACATTATACCCGCTTCATCCCGCTTGTGCATCGCAACCGCTTGAAACCATCGCTAAGAGCCTAATTGCCAGAAACCAGACCAGGGCCCTGAGTGTCGTCATCAGCACCAGCAACAAGGTAGGACTTTAGTTTATTAGTATTCTTACTGCCTACATTTTATCTAGCCACATAAATCAGTCAAATACCACCACCCCTATTTCTCATATTCATACAGTCCACTGCCTACCAAAGGTAGAAGAGTATTAAAAAACTATTGTTTAGACGCAGGCCTTAATCATATTCAGCAGAAAAAACTTTTGAAAATAATAATAAACCGCCCATTTTACATGCATTATTTACCTAATGACTCGAGAACTTTGCAAAGTACACCTTCTATTGTAGTAAGAAACGTTATTTTAAAAACAGCTGGTGGAGAATATCTTCATCTTGGTTTCAAACATCTTCTCGAAAATAAATTGCTGTCTTTACCCAACAATGTTTTGCCAGAATTTCTGGAGGTTGATATTAGCACAGATGGTGGTCAGTTGTATAGGTCAGGTGGACTTTAGTTTTGGCCCCTACAATTTCGCGTTGTTAACATTAAGGTTTTCAAACCTATGATAGCTGGTGTTTTTGTTGGTAAAAAAAGCCTTTAAACTCGTTTGACCTTTTTGAACAACTTGTTGCGGAATTCATGGAAGTTTTTGACAACGGTGGTTTGCGTATCACAAACCGGAAAATTCCTCTACATAAATGTTACTGTTAACTTACAAATGTTATTATTAAAATATATTTAAAAATGTTATTAAATTATAGAAAAGTTATGTTATTAAAATATATTAATGTTGATATATTTGATCCAGAGTTTTATTTTACCCAATGCCGCGAGTAAGTTGGAGCTGTGATAAACGATAAGAACGTCGTTGTCTCTAGCGATGCAACGTGTTTTAAAAGACGTTGCATCACTAGTAAAGATAGCGACGACGCTATTGTCGTTTATCACAGCTGCAATATACTCGCGGCCTAAGAAAAAGTAACAAATTAGAATTTTTTATTATTACACGCCCCATTCGCTCGCGCATGCGCGCCAGCAATGTCACGAAGTGATATCCCATTGAGTGCGTATTGCGCTCGAATATCACGATTTGATATCCCATTAATTGTCTATTGTGGAAACATATGAATGCGCAAGTGATATCACGATGTCACGACAGGATTTCAGAGTGATTTCAATACGCAATCACAAATGTTTACTGGGTTAATACAAATTTTAATACACCCAATTTTTATGTTTTTTTAATCGAAGTATAAATTAATTCCTGAAGCATATATCTGAGTTTTATTAAACTAAATATTTGAAATACAATGTCTAGTATTTTATTTAACTGAAATTTAGTAATAAAGTTATTCAAATTTGAATATTTATTTTATAGATTTAGATTTATAGATTTAAATAAGTTGTTTAATGAATTTTTTCTACTCAAACCTTGAAAACGCCCTTTATCGTACATGTTTCCATGACACTAAGTGACCTTTTAAATACACATTGACAAGTTGTGGCTCTATGGCGTTTTAGTCAAGGGGTAAAGTTAGCAACAGGTTTTTAGTCACGGGCTGAAGTTAGTTTTAAGTTAGTTGACAGTTGTCATACAATCGTTAAAATAAAGTGCCTTTCTTGTAAAATAATACTAAATGTGAAAATTATTTTATTATCTCAATTCAAAAATACAAAAGTACTAAATAGTTTCTTAACGCCAATATTTGAAAAGTTTATAGGTATGAACATTGTACTGACCTTTTAATTTCGCCGGCAGTAAACTATAACTTAAATTCGGGCACGGACTCTACTGTAAAGTCCTCATAAAACATTTTCTTTACTTTCACTGTGAAAAACTGTCAATTTTCAAGAAATACATTTCGATTTATAACCTTTATAATCTGTGTTTATAAAATTTAAAAATGTGACATTTGACGGTGACACAGATTCCCCTATTATTTCTTAGATGGCGCTCTATACAAATTTAAATCATTTTAAGATACTAATAAGTATTTGTCGTAGAAAAAGTATAGTATGCACCTCCTTTATAAACTTTTCTATACACTCATTAATTTAAGCACTCGCTCGTGCCTAAATTAAATTCGTGTATAAAATAGCGTTTATCAAACTTGATACATAATATACTATTAATTAGTCTTTAGTAAAATATGGGGAACCGGAAGAATCGAACGTTCCCGATTATAGAATTTTGGTTTCGTCTTAATTGCGCTTTACTTTATTCTAAAACATCACCGCGCACAACGTGTATCATTTGTTTTGAGGTTAAGTGAAGTTCGGTGGTTTAAAATAATTTTAAAACCATTGGCTAAATATAAGGAAATCTTTATTGGTAAGCAAATTTTGACATTTGTTTGTTATATTATGTAATATCAATTGATGTGAGATCATAGAGAAACAAACAACGTTATTTCTTTCTCTATGGTGAGATGTTAATTTTATGGCCACGTGCTTTTAAATAATCTTGATCTGTTTATGTAAGTAATATAATAATAAAATAATAATAATAATATAAGTGCGTGATGTTTTAATTGTTTATAAGTTAGCAATTGTTTTATATTTTGTAGAAGAAGGAATTAATAATGAATATTTTGACCTGCTGGGCGAAACTGACAAGATTAGGCCCTAGGCTTAACTTTTTAATTTTTTTTTTATTTATTAGGAAGTAAAATTTGGTGCAAAAGAGGTAATGGTATAATTGCTAATGATATTTTAAATATGTATTTCAGAATGGAATTGAAATTATAGCAAATCGTACTGAATTACCATTAGTAGTTGGTTCCAACTGAACTAATCAATTACCATCAACAATTGTTTCTGACTGTACTCAATCAACATTAACACCTAATCTAAGCTATCAACCTTAACAACATCTTCCGATAGTTTAGTTTTAACTCCATAAGAGGACTATTCTACATACCTAGATGAAATTGTATCGCAACACCACACTACAAGAACAGACTCATTTGACTTATGTGATAATCAACAAAAATCAAAATCAGAGATTTAATTAGGTTGCATTTAAAAATATTTATATTATTTTATTTCTTTTTAGAAGTTGGAGAATTTATTAAAGCAATTATCAGAGGGTAGGGTACTTTTGGCTAATAAAAACAAACTAACAAACAGTTTGAGATCAAATTTGGTGAGAATTATAATAAATGATATTATATGCAATACCGAAAATTCTTGTAGTGTAGTACCAATACAATTAATTTGTTAAAAAATTGTTAAATGTATTTAAGTAAATTCCAATTTAAATAACTCAAAGTTTTGATAACCCAATCAAATTGGCAAGTGTTTCTTTCACCCAAAGCTTAAACTTTTTTGTATTTGTTTTTTTTATGACTAGCCATTAAAAATACTTTTGTCTCTTGAGTTATTTTCGTATGTTACCTCGTTTTCGAAAGAAAAAATAAAAACCATAATATTGCATGGAAATTGACACAACGCAACTTTTACACCTTTTTGCCATGTATGCGGAATAAATAAGTATACTTATATATAGGCTTTGGAATAAGTAAAAGATTGACAGATTGAGAAATAAAAAATTGATATTATTGCTTGCCCAATTTCAACAAAATCGGGCAAAGGATATTTACGATATTTTAAAAAAGCCGTTTTTTTATCTTGAAAACAAAGCATTTCCGGACCTTCGTCTATATTATTTTTTTTCTTATTTTTTGATGACGAATCTCCAACCGAGGGTTGACGCATATTTTTTTAAACACCCTGTATATTCTTAATTTTTGTTTTCATTTTAATACCCACCTAATTAAATACGTAAAAAACTTCTTACATCTTAAAAAAATTAATTAATTTAAATAATGTTTACATAATAATTGAAGGGTTTCTTTTTAAGAACATAATTTAAGTAGAGTTCATCCAAAGTGTAAATGAAATGTTAGTTAGATCACCTAGTACCCATGAGGCAGTTAAGGGCCTTATTAGTTTGTCACAGCTTAACCAAGTCCCATCCATTTTGGATAGAGATTTTTTGTCCCAGCTAGAATGTAACGATGAAATAAAAAATCAAATAAATGAGGCAGTAGATAGAGGTTTTTGGATTTCTGATAAGGGACATCGTATTGATTTAGATAATAAGCTTGTAATTCATTCTAATATCGTAGTAAATCCAACTGAAAAAATGGATGTTAATTTGATAAAAAATAATGAAAAAAAACTTGACCATGAAATTCTTTTGTATACAATATATTGTAGTGTAGTACCTACGTAGTTATAGTGGGGGACAATGCGTTACTGCGTTATCGATTGTTCCCCAGGACGGCTATTCTTGAGCAGTGAGCGGCATAGATTTATGGCGAATGATCACATGAGACGATCGTCGTTTATTATATTATTGGACGGTGATCCGATATTACTAATCTCATGAAAATCATACGTTCCGGAACGCATGGTCCGAAAGCGAGGAGCAGCATCGAATCGAGTGGCGCTGGCGCAGTAAAGATGTTTTTTTATGGAAATTTGTTTTCTTATTCCGGTTTGTTCTGTTCTGTCAGTTCTGTTTTTTATTTAATTTCGAATTTATGTGCATTAACCCTTTATGTATTTGTGGTTAAGTAAATAGCCATTGCTAATAAGGACCGAATAGATACAGTATAATCAAGGAAAATGAATCTTATGGTATATGCAGTATATCTCAGCGTGTTGTGGCAAATAAAATAGCCGTATGTATACCCACCTTCCCGCCACTCCACAAGCGGCAACGTGTGTAGCCACAAACCTCTATTTACATTAGATACATTTGGCGCGCCTTCTTGTTTATCTTGTTTTAAAAAAAATCTGAGTAAGTATTTTATACTTTTAATACTATATTTGTGTTAAGTAATATCATAGGTATTAATTAGTCTATAAGTTTTGTGCACGTGTTTTGGCGCTAAGAAGATTCAGCATATTTTGTAAATGTAACCTATAAATTTCATAGTGGCAATTTATATAGCCACATAGTGTTAACACCTAATTGAGGAGTTTAATCATTTAAATATGTTTACTTTATTCCAGGTAAAGTTTATTCCCATCTTGCTGGTAGATATGGCAACTTATAAATTGTGTGAATTGGAGAAAATGAATCCTAATGATTTATTTAAATTTATTGACGGAGTTACTGATAATCAGGCATTTGATTCAGATGAAGGGGGTGATACAGATGCAGAAGATCAATTATGTCATGATTTTGGTACTCCATCCACTTCTCGTGCGACTTATAATCGTCCAAAGCGCAGCGCAACTGTTATGACTGCAGTTGAATATTCTTCTGATGAGGATGATGATGACTCTATAGCTGATCCCGATTTCGAAGTTGATGTGCCTGCTACTAATAATATAGCAGGTACTCTAGACGATACAAGCAGTGAAGATGAACCATTGGATCATGGAGTCGAGGACATATCGCAATATACTTACAACTTTACGAAAAGGGCTGAAAATCCTAATTCTTATAATAATTTCCAATACACTTCTAACACAGGACCATCTTTTGCTGCTCATGACAAGGAACCTTTGGGAATATTTGAAGAGTTTTTTGATGTGGTGTTATTAGAAAAAATTGTCGAACAATCGAATCTCTACGCAGAGCAAAATGGGACACAATTGAATATGGATAGTAAAGAACTAAAAGCTTTCATAGGTGTACTTCTGATTATGGGATTTCATGGTTTACCATCATTAAATTTGTACTGGAGCTCCAATGAGAATTTTCGTGTTAGTCGTATAGCAAATGTTATCAGTCAGAAAAGGTTTTTGTGTATTTTACGATACATCCATATCAACGACAATACAAAGATGCCAGACAAAAGCTTACCGACCTTTGATAAACTGTATAAGGTACGCCCACTTATCACCCACCTCAATGAAAGATTTCATAAAAATTTTAATCCGTCTAGAAATTTAGCTATAGATGAGAGCATGGTTGGTTTCAAAGGGCGTACATCATTAAAGCAATATATGCCCATGAAACCAACAAAACGAGGCATAAAAGTGTGGGCCATAGCTTGTTCAGAAACGGGCTACGCACTTCGTTTGGAAGTTTATGAAGGAAAAAGCAGAACTGTACAAGAAGGAACTTTGGGAGAGAAAACGGTCTTGAAATTATCTGAAAAGTATCAAAATATGGGACATTGCTTGTACTTTGATAATTTTTTCTCTAGTTTTACTTTACTATCAAAACTCTTAGAAACTAGAACATATGCCTGCGGTACCTTTCGTATAAACCGGAAGCATTACCCCAAACATCTGTTAGCGGATGATAAAAAAATGAAAACAGGTGATAGCGATTATGCAATGAGTGGTAATAACATATCAGTATGTAAGTGGCGCGATAGAGGAAAAAAAAGTGTGGTGGTAATAAGTTCATTACACAATCCAAGTATTACCACCCAAGTTTTGAGAACAAATTCAATGGGCGCACGAGAGTTAGTAAAATGCCCAAATTCAATTGCAGATTACAATAAGTTCATGGGTGGAGTCGACCGATTCGACCAACTTATGTCTACTTATTCCATCGCATGGAAATCGCGCAGATGGTGGGTAAAACTTTTGTACTATTTTATTGATGCTGCAGTGACTAATTCGTACATCACATATAAAACATCAACAATTCAAAATAATAATAAAACAAAGCCAATGAGCCATCTACATTTCCGTAACCTGCTTGGTAATCAACTTATTGCAGATTACAACTCTAAAATAAAAAGAAATGGCAACAATCTGCAAATTACAAAAACAAAAATGAAAAAAATTAACGGAAGATCGGTGGGAATTGATAGTTCTATTAGAAAAAGAGAAGTCGGAAAACATTTACCAATAAAAGGCAAGAACAGGCGCTGTGCATACTGCAGCACAAGGAATAAGGTGACCCGATCTAGCATAATCTGCCAAGAATGCGATGTTGCGTTGTGCCTTAGTTGTTTCGCCCCTTTTCATTTAGGATGAGTTTTGTATTAATTATATAACCATATTAAAGGTTTTTATATATAAATTGTGTTTTTTTCCAAAAGCGGCTTTATATTTAACCACAAAAAAATCTTAAAAAATCAAGCAATTGAATGACTTGTGGCTAAATTTTTGGACACCCTGTTATGAGCTTATGATATTTTCAAAAAATATTTATATATTTTTTTAATGAACTTGGAGGTATCTAAAAAGCTATCCTTTACTCAAAATAATAAAAAAATAAAAAAAAGTGTTTGCGCCTTAAAGGGTTAAGTTAAAAAAAGAGATTTTGTTGTGATTTTGAGTGGTTTTACTGGTTACAAGTGTTTTTAATCGGTGTTTTATTATGGACATGGCTCACTATTATTTTTGGCATGTGGCGATTGATGATTTGCGGAAGGCAGAGGAGGAAGTACAAATGGACGAAGATAGGGGCTCCAGGTTTTTATACGACCATCGCTTGGAAGCCTGGCGGCTCTCCGATAAGCAGTTTAAAAGAAATTATCGAGTTTCTAAAGCCCTGGCAAGGGAAATATTAGAATTAATAAGGCCCCATTTGCCTGCTGAAGGCAGGGCTTCTAAAATACCTGTTGAAGTAAAGGTAAGTTGATTTTTTATTATACCTAGTTAGGGCCATTTGTTGGCAGCAAATAAATATAGATATATTTAGAATTTTAAGTAGAATCGAAATATCCAGTAATATATTAGGTATAGTCATAGTTTAATATAGATTAGGTTAATATCCTGCAACATCATTAAGTTTATTTTTAACGCAGAAAAAAAACTGGATTTTTTTTCATTTTAATACCTTTAAAAACAAAAAAGATACAGCTGATTGAAATGTTAAACATAAAAGTAAAACATTCTGTGCATATCTATTATTATTTTTAGGTGTTGGTGGCTCTCAATTTTTTTGGCCACGGGTCATACCAAGAAGATGTGGGCAAACATATTTGCCACACTATAAGCCAGCCCTCAGTGTCCCGATGCATAAGGCAGGTAGCTAGGGCCCTCAATCAGGCCCACATTTTAAATAGATTTGTCTGCAGGAATACTAATTTCGGTTTCATTTATTAAAACCTCATTGCAAATTAAATTATTTAAAGCAATTTTATTTTTAGGATATCCTTTGCGGCCATGGCTTATAACGCCACTAACTGAAGTGCAACCAGGGGCTGAAGAAAGGTTTCACCACGCCTTCTTGACGATGAGGTGCTCAATTGAGCGTTGCAACGGACGATTGAAAAATATGTGGCGCTGTCTTCTGAAACACCGAGTCCTGCACTATGAACCAGACATGGCTGGACTCATTGTAAATGCATGTGTGGTATTACATAATATGGCTATCGACCACAATATTCAAGAACCTGATATTGATGAAGTGGCTAATATTGACTTTGGGATGTATCCACCACAGGGTGATGAAAATATCCAAAATCAAAATATTGTAAATAATGATTTGGCAAGAGCAAGAATGTTAAAAAATTCGATAATTAATAATCACTTTGCTTAAGTGCATATTGTTTTTAAAAATATATAAAATTCCTTTAGCTTTTTTTCAGTGTTTTTATTTATTCTTTGTTCAAGGCTGTAATGCTGTATAAGCAAACTCAACTAAGCTTCTTGAAAGGCGTAATAGAATTTAGTATTTGAATGTCTGTTGTGTAACTGAGTCAAAACTAAATTGTTAATTAAAGCTGCCTATTTTTCTTAGTTCATCGTGTACTATTTTCTTAGAGCCAGACCATATTAAGTCCAAAATTTAAAATTCAACATGCAAGATTTTGAACTCACGTTTAAAATATTAATACATTTTATTTTTAAACTATTTTATAATAGAACTAATAAAATATAGTTCTTAAAGTATAATGGTACAATATATAAGTTTCAAAAAAGGGTATATAATATTTTAAAAACTAGTTTAAATTTTGACAGATTGTATTTTAAAATAGGGACTTAATATGGTCTGGCTCTAAGGTCCAGATATATATATATATATATACAGCCTGTTTAGAATAAAACCGAATATATCTATATATATATATATGGGGCGTGGCCTCGCCTCCCTCCAATGCGCGTCACAGTTGCTTGTGTAATAAACGACATGAGAAAAGGTCGAGCAGGTAAGGACTTAAGAAATTAAATGATAATAATGCAAAAAATCTCATTAGTCTATTTGCTTAGCTACTGTGTCGCGCGTTGGAGGGAGGCGAGGCCACGCTCCATATATATATATATAGATATATTCGGTTTTAGTATGAAAGAGCTGTATGTATATATATATATATATATATATAACTACCACCCCATAGCATAGGTGCATCTCTGAATTCACCCTGTATAGTTATATTAAATATAAAAATAAACAAAAATAAATTTTATTCCCATAAAATATGTATCAAAACTAAAACAAAATAATTCATTCAAGAATAACAGTCAAACTTAACTAGATATTTTAGGAAAAAAAGAACCTTAAGGTTCATGTGGAAAAGAAATAAATGCTTTTATACATACAAAAATCATTTTTTGTTTGCCAGAATATTTAAAATTGAAGAGTTGACCCTGAGATTATCCTTCATAATCTTGAGATTTTCTTTAGATATTTCCAAATTTTCTTTAGCTACTTCCAGCATTTTATCTTCATGCTTAATTTTGTGTTCTAGGGACTCGATTTTCTTAATATAATATTTATTTGTGAAATTATTTTGGTAGTCTACTTGATTTAGCATTTGTTTGGAATTTTGTTTAATCCTGTATATCTTAAGTCATAATTAAGAGACTTATTTTTACAGGATTGTTATATGGATGTTATGCAATTCTCCAAGTCTAACTACTAGGTTTCTGCTTTGCATGGTACCAAAGAAGGCTGTGGTTTATGAACATTTTCAATGTTTACATCAAATTGATTAATTTCTGTTGCGTCTTCTGTAAATTGGAAGACAACTTTATTTTCTGGGATTTATGGTATGCCCTCATACTTTTTTTGTGTTTATCATATCTAGAATCATTATATCATCTTCATTTAAATCACTCTTGGGAGGAGTTCCCCCGCCAGTTTTTTGTGATTCTTTTTTGAGGCGTACGGCTTTCCTTGTAGCATTTTTTTTCATATCAGCCCATGTCTGAAAATATCAAATAATGTAAATGAACGCAGAGTTAATTTAAAAGCTTACCTTTCTCCACATTCGCCAATCATCTTTTTTTGCACCTCCTGGTACGGCGTTTAATTTTACAGTAATTATTTCCCAGAGTGTTTGGCAATTTTTAAAAGTAAAATCAGGACTAAAGGTACCGGCTCTTAATTTGGGGTTTTGTTCCATATATTCAATTAACATATTTTTCTGAATGCCGTTTGTGGGGGCACTCCTTTTGGAAGGGGTAGAAAGTGACTTGGGCATTTTTATTCCAATTCAAAAATAATTTATTTATTTAGTATAACACAGACTAGCTTTTTATTATAATCGAATATAATTTATAAAACAAAATATCAAAAAATCATGAATGACAACCGTACAAAAAAAAGGTTAAAAATCCCTAAACAGTAGTTCTTCTGTATCAAATAATGCTGGCAACAGCGCAATAATTTTGAACGTTCACTCGTAGATTCAAGAATTGGTCGATTTCGACCGTGGGAGTCGATAGATCGCACGGGATAGAACCCATCGTACAAGAGAAACACCGGTCGTATGATTTTCAAGAATAGCCGCCCAGCTGAAGCGGTACAGCTAAGGCAGTAGAAAGTTACATAGTATATAGATAGTTGTAATGTTGTAGATATTATAGTATAGTATAGTTAATTAACACGTTGAAGGACAGTGACGTCTATGGACGTCCTCCGGGGCGTGCAAACTTGATCAGTACGCCTTACGGCGTCTGAATTTGTATTGGTTGTAAAAGACAATACGTTTATTGGCGTCGTATATACCATATAAAATGATAGGAGATATGGTTACTGCCACATTTGGCAAATATCGTTTTAGTCGTACTGTCGTTTTTAATCCATGTAAAACACATTTACACCCTACTATACCCCCACTACTTATCAAAATGAGTAATTTATACACAACGCCGTTAGACGTCCAGTGATACGTATAAATCCTATCAGTAATTATTTTACTGCCAAGCTAAACGGATTGTTTTCGCGACATCGTCCCATATGTAGGCGGGAAATAGCACGTGCTTTTTATTTATTTCGGTTTTTTAGTGCGGTGCAGTTTTAAGGCAATGTAAGTACCTTTTTATCTTTTTATTATATATTTTCGTAATGCGTTCTTTTAGATTCTTTATAACTTTGCCAGTTTTATTGCAAAAAAGTTAGGTGATTTATAAAATCTCTGCAAAAAAGTTAGGTTATTCATAAAATCCGTCCACAAGTAGTTTTTACAAAGAAAATTCAGGGTCTTTGGTCAATCAGACTGATAATAAATCATGGTTTTCTTAATTTTAGATGAGTAGTACCAATTATTATTATGAAAAGGAACAGCAGAGGTTAAATAACCTGTACGACGAATTGTCTAGCGATGATGAGGAAGTGGATCCATTTCATGATAGCGATGGTGGGTCAGATCCAAGTTATAGCCCAAACCAGTCTTCAGAGAGCGATGCAGACGAGGCAGGCCCAAGTAAACGTCCAAAAAGAGAAGTCCAAGTCGAAGTCCATGATGACCAAAGTACCCACTCAGACACAGAACCTGAAGAAGATGCAGAACCTGAAGAAGACACAGAACCTAAAGAAGACACAGAACCTGAGGAAGACACAGAACCTGAAGAAGTCACAGAACCCGATTTATGGGAAGCCACAACAGTACCAATTCCCGTTTTCAATTTTGATGAAACTAATGTTGGGGTCAAAATAAATATTGATGAAAACTCTACACCCCTCGAGGTTTTGGAATTCCTGTTTACGCCGCAAATATTGGAATACATAATGCAGTGCTCAAACGATTATGGTGAGTTACTCACCACTACTAATAGATCAAAAACCAGGAACAGCAGGTCAGCAGGGTACCGACCAATAACAACCGATGAAATGAAAGCCTTTTTTGGTCTCTGCCTTCTTCAAGGGCAGGTTTCAACCAACAACATTCGTCGATTTTTTTCCTATAAAGACATATTTTATTATCACCCGATATTCCCATATGTTTTGTCTGCAAGAAGATTTGAACAAATAATAAGGGTTATGTGCTGTTCACCGCCAAAATCAAAAGGAAAAGAAAAAGTTCAGACACTTATAGATATGCTCCTATCTAAATTTCAGAATGCCTATGAACCTACCAAAGAGTTATCCCTGGACGAATCGCTGCTACATTTTCGAGGCAGACTTGGCTTTAGAGTCTATATCAAGAATAAGAAAAATAAATACGGAATAAAGTTTTACCAGTTAACGACATCTGATGGATATGTATTGAACGCGGAAATGTATAGTGGACACATCAATGCCAATGAAGGCGAAGAAAACGATGGCGAAGATAACAGTATAACAGAAAAGTTAGTTCTTCGATTAATGAAACCTTACCTACTAAAAGGTCATGATTTGTTTATGGACAATTATTATAATAGCGTTTCATTGTCTGAAAAACTACTGAAATTAAAGACGCATACTAATGGTACCCTTAGGTCTAATCGTCGTGGCAATCCTAAGGATTTAGTCAAGAAAAAATTAAAGCGCGGTGAACATTTTTGGGCACGCAAGAAGCAAGTGTATGTGTCTAAATGGAAAGATAAACGTGATGTTTTGATGATTACTACCAAAAATCACCCGCATATAATTACAGTGAAAAGTAAGTTTGGGAAAGAGAAAAATAAACCCAAAGAAGTAGCCACATATAACGATCACATGTCGGGTATTGATCGATGTGATCAAATGACATCAACGTATTCCACTACAAGAAAAACCATAAGATGGTACAAAAAAATTATATTACATTTGCTTGACCTGGCTACATGGAATGCCTTTTTTTTATATAGAAAATATTGTAAAGATAATTCACGTAAATACCGTTATTTGCAATTCAGAGATGATCTAATCAAATCTCTTACTAAGCTACCCCCCAATATAGAAGCAAAAGATATCATTCGTACAAATAAGCATAATAGCCGTCGTTCTGAACAACGAAATGAACAACAAAACGAACAACAAAACCAAGTTCATGATATTACACATGAGCTAAATGTACATTGGCCTGAAAAAATTCCGGGAGAGCCTGGATGCAAGTCTGGGAAAAAATCTGTGTTTTTAAGGTGCAGAAATTGCACCAGGACAAAAATACGGAAGGAAACTTGTTACAGATGTAAGGGTTGCAACGAAAAACCGCCTTTATGTCCTCAATGTTTTGAGGAATATCATAGCAAAGTATAATAAATAAGTACGTAGTAAGTTTTACTTTATATTAAAAAAATTTTCTTTAGCTTTTTGTTACAAACCTACTTTTTAAATAAAGAAGTTTTTTTAGGGTTTTTGTTTTTTTAGGTTACATATTATTTTTATTTCTTGGCGTATATCGGCGTTCGACGATATCTAGCAAACATTTTATTTAAAAAATGACAGGACGTTTATCAGCGTCGAGTTAATTCTTGACGTATATCGGCGTCTTGGCGTTATCTAGAAAACAATGTATTTAAAAAGTGACAAGACGTTAATAGGCGTCAAGTTTTAAACACCCTAAAATACGCCATAAAATCATTTTTTCAATATTATACCGTATTGGCTATACTCTAAAACACATTTCGAAATGTAATTTGTTGAAAAACGCAAGTGCCATTTTTGGTCCTTCAGGTATATCTCTACTGTCCTTCAACGTGTTAAAATACAAAATTGAATTACTTGAGCAAAAAATTGACAACACGCATCAAGCCGAAAAAGTAAACAATGTTTGTATACATGGAATCCCCGAAGAAAAAAATTAAAACACACTCATTAAAACAGCTGATCTCTTCAAGTGCCTATCAGATTGGAAGAACTGGAACTCGCCCAGTGATTGTGAAATTTAAAAACTATGAAAATAAAGTTGCACTGTTAAGTTTTTTAACAGTGCAACTTTATTTTCAAAAATTTAAAAACAAAAAAATATTTATATGTGAAGATCTTAGCAAAAACAAACTTGATTTACTTAATGCTGCTAAAAATATTTTCGGTAAAACAAATGTGTGGTCTTCAAATGGTGTTATATTGACAAAAATAAATGAAAACTTGGTAAAAATTAGAAATAAAAATCAACTTTTAGATTATCAAAAACAAGAAGTGTAAAACATTTTGTCACAAAGTATTCTTTGTGTAAATACAAATTTATTTAACTTTTAATTTCACTCTGTTATAATATAAAATTTGGAGCTCGCCTTAAGCTTAATTTGTTATATAAATTGTTTATTTTTTTCTTTAATTTCTTTGTTGTATAATTTATAATTCGTTTTTAATTTTTGGTATTGTATAATAAACTGGGGAAAAAAGATTGACAATTTTGGTATTATTATGATGAGGAGGTTAAAACCAGGGAATACGATAACGTAAACGAATTGTTAAATAAATAATCACTCTTTAAACATAATTCATATTAACATTAGGAGCATAAACAAAAACCTTGATGAACTTTTAATATACTTGGAAGACTTAAGAGTAAAAAACATTGATATTATCGTTCTATCTGAAACGTGGAATTTGCAGGAGGTAAGTGATTTTAGTATACCGAATTTTTCCATTCTTTATAACAACTCTAAACAAAATCAGAATGATAGCGTTGTGGTTTACATCAGGGATGGTATCCCTTATGAGGCAAATACGATAGATTTTACGGAAACCAAACCAATAAGATTTACTTTTTCCATGAATGATATTACATTTGGCGTCACTGCTTCATATAGGCCACCATCTACTGATGTGGAACTTTACATAACACAACTGGGAAGTTACTTTTCGAAAATTAAAAATTTTAAACAAAATGTAGAAATATTTATTGGAGATATCAACATAAATTTATTAGAAACAGAGAATGCGAAAAAAATCGATACTTTAAATAATTACCTAGGTATTTTGGGTGAATTTGGATTCATATCTTACATTAATAACCCCACCAGGATTAAGGAGTCACAAAAAAGATCTCTATTGGATCATGCATTTGTCAGGACAAATCAAGAAAGCATTAAAATAACACCGTGCATCCTAAAAGCCTCTTTAACCGATCATGTTATGCTTTTTATAAATTTTAGCTTCTCGGAACAAATTAAACATAATCATCAAAAACCTAGCTACTTAGGTGTTACAAATTTAATTAACTTAAAAAAATCTCTAGAAACTGAAATCTGGGCAGAAGTTTTAGATAAACAAGATCCTGAAAAGGGATATGACATATTTTTGCAAAAATTGAATAGGTATATTAAAAATAACACTAAATCTAAAGTAATT